GTATAACTTAAAGGACCTTTAATGGTTAATTTTATAATACTTTAGTTTATACATCAGGGTTATATATAATTAATATCCGATAGCCAGTTATATGTGTGCTTTCTGCCTTAAATTCATATTTCTTATTTGGTTGTAGGCTTAGGGCAGATTCAGCCATTGAATTGTCCGCTCAATATTAGATTATATATAGCTAGTATACACAACGTGATTATAGAAGGAGCTATTGTGGTTAACAATTTTACTAAAGGAAATATATGATTTTCTTAAAGAATGTTTTCATCAAATATAAAGAACTATTATAGTTAACTCCGTAAGTACCAAATGAATACGCCAGGGTTATATACAATGAAGATTAACAAACAATGGGATGTGTGACTTCCGCCTCAATCCTTGTTCCTTGTTTGGTTGTCGATTTAGGGTAGATTCACACAATTGATTATCTGTTTACTCTGGATTGTATATATATCTTGTATCCATTTAGTACTCATAGAAGGAATTGTAGAGTCATTTTTACTTTCATTCATCATACCAGAAAATATAGGATTTTTTTTTTTGAGGAACAAGCGAACTTTTCTAAAAAGTACTTACAACTTACTTTTCATCACTTAAATACTTATGAACTCACCAGCTTAAATGTCAATCTATTTTTTCGAAATAACTTGTATTCTCAGGAAACTAGTAGACAGGTACGCGCACTGGGATTCAGAAGATGGAGTATAATAGCTTCATGTCTTGTTTTGTTATTTACTTTTGGAGCCTATCTTTGTGAATCACGTACTTTGTAAACACTTTAATATTAAAGCAATGGTTGTTTGTTACTTTGATTACTATAATGCATGTGTTGTGATACTAAACATGACGTCCTTCACCCCCGAACATTTTCTCCGTTCCGGTTTAGGGGTGTGACATATTGGTATCAGAGCATTGTTTATAGTGAACTAAGTATATCAACCTATAAAAGATATACAACTATAAATAGAATAGGGCCGAAGTGCTCAGGCTAAAAGTATAATTTTAAACAAAATATATAACAACATTTTATAAAAGTATACATACATGCTTATACATATATACATACTAGAACAAGTATCAGAAGAAGAACAGAACATAATTATTTAAAGGTTGAACACTGCGGTCAAACATGGGCAGTTATGTAATCATATCTAAAAATCAATATAGCTTAATCAACTATATTTATATGAGAAATGACCGACATGTGTTTGGGAGTGATGTGGTGTTGTAGCAGTCTTAAAACTTACCTAACTCTATTCAAGGGATTTCTAGATCAGAACATAAAGTTAAAATACTATAGGAGTATTTATGATACTATAAGATAACAACAAGTTTAAAACATACCAAGTTCATTACATTCAAATAGTATAGGCATATTTAAGGGACTATATAATAACTTATGTAATAATTGAAACGACCCTTCTGGTAGGTCTATAATTCCGGAGTGTATACTCCTAGGGTTTTATATAATTGAGATTTTTATAGATTTAAAATTTGTGGTGTATGCTCTAGTTCATGTTCCTTGTTTGGTTTTGGTTTTAGAGTATGATCATTTATTCGAAGGACTATTTAATCTTAAATTATATACAACTTGTATACAGTGCACAATTATAGGAGGACCCGATAAGGGTCACCCCATAATGTTTCAATTAATCTCATAGATTCCTTAGACACTTCCATTCTCGCACAACAAACCCAAATAGATGTAATCACTTCATCATATCAGTTAGCAGAGGAGTCAAGGAGGAACAAAAATACATTCAAGAAGAGTTTTCCAAGGAGGGATCATCCGAAGAAACTAAAACATCCTATGCTTCACACTAATAAATAATAAACTTATTTGATTTAGTGATCTAGTAAATACACTACCTCACACTATGTGCTAGAATTATTAATTTTCATGAAGCCAGTAACGGATATTCAATTCATAGAGATTCATTCTAAAATAGCCACTTCTGATTCATAAAGTTTATTTTAGATAGGCTCCTGTTAGGGATTGTTTTTCAGAACCCTATGAAAGTCAGAACTAGTTACACTCAGAACTAGGATACCTTAGTCATTCAACTTTCAACTTATAATCACTGCTATAGACTTATTTCCATCTCATCTTTGTATTCGTTTTAGCAAAAGATGTTTTGTGGTACACCTGTAAGACGCGTAGTCAATATCACAACAGAGAATCCACCACCACAACCCGACCTTGCTGCTTTCCAAGCAACGGTAACAACCGCAACAACGACTTCCATAGCTTAGATCTGTGCAAGTGGTACCAATGGATCTGGTAGTGGTACCCACCTATCTAACCCCGGAGTTAACCACGGACACCCATGGGAATGTTTGTATAAGGACTTCATGAACTGCAAACCCAAATCCTTTAATGGAAATGGAGGAGTCATTTCTCTGATGTGATGGTTCGAGAAAACAGATTCGGTCTTCGAAATCTGTCTGTGTCCAGAAGGGAGCCAAGTGAAGTTTGCTTCTTGCACCTTCTTCGATAGATCCCTAACATGGTGGATTAGCCATGTTAAGTCACTGACCCTATTAGTCGCTAACTTGATGGGTTGGGAGAACCTGAAAGAGATGATGATGGAAGAATATTACCCTAGGGGCAAAGTTCAAAAGCTGGAGCAAGAACTCTAGGAGCATACCATGGTCGGATCAGACATAATAGCCTACACTTATAGGTTTAGCGACCTGGCAGTGCTATGTCCCGGGATGGTTACCCGAAGAGTAAGAAAATAGAAAGGTACATCCAGGGCTTATCTACCCCTATTCAGGGAGATGTATTGTCTTCTAACCCAACTACCTTTGATAGCGCCAAACGCCTGGCCTAGAGATTCATTGACCATGGAGTCCGCCATAGCATGGTGGTCCCCATTCCTGGGCCATCAAAAAGAGGGGGCTATAAACGAAATTCGGGGAAAAAGAGGAAGGAGCAAACAACATAGGAACCCCCGTAGGAGCAACAAATGGTTATTGTATACACTGCTACAACACCTGCTACTCCAACACTTGCCAGTCGATATGCTGGATCTCTCCCGAAGTGTGGAAAGTGTAACTAACACCACACCGGAGTATATCGGGAAATGCAGTGCATGAATTCCTGTAGGAAGGGGCACAAAACCCATTTCTACAGGGCGCCGACACAACCGATCTCCCAAGTCCTCGGAGTAGAAGTAAACCAGGCCTATTATGGCTATGGTGAGACAGGGCACTACAAGAGGGACTGCCCAATAATAAAGAACTCAAGAGCGGATTGGCAAATTTTGATGATCACCGCAAGAGAAACTACCTCGGAGCCACTAGCAAACAGCGCTACGTCTTTGAAATAAAAAATACTTTAAAATATGATTTAAATTTAATATAAGATTAAAACTTGGGAAAAACTTAAAAGTAATGATAATAGCTCACTTGTCTGAACAAGCCACATCATTCATAAGGGAACTAAAGATCCCTACTGGTAAGCTATGATGGCTTAGTATGTACATCGGGGTTTTGCATAGCTAAGATTTTGCAGACTTAGATTGAGTGATTCCGCCTCACTTCATGTTCCTTGTTTGGTTGTGGATTTAGGGAAGAGTCACTGAGTCAACTGTCTTAGTTGTCTTAATTAAAGATAACTTGTATATGTCAGGCGATCATAGAGGTACGAAGGAGGATCATAATATAAAGTATCAACACTAGTTATCAAAAAACTTTCACTATTAGTACTTGCTCATCGCGGTATGATTTTTGGCAGTGGTAATATCGAGGAGAAAACTGAAAGCACTAGAAAGTCTTCACAAAATTCATTTTCGAACAGACTAAGGGCACACCAGCATATAAACAATAGTTTCTTTCAAATCTTCCTAACATTTCTTTCCGTAAAGAGTCTGTTGTCATCGTTCATCATGGATTGGTGTGGTCCTCAACATACCAAGGTCATGTGTTGCGAAAACCCAACACCTTAACCGGAAAATTAGTGAAACCCTCTTCATTCGTAACGACAACCAGACCCAAACCTCAGTATTGAGTTTTGTCTTCTAAACCCATAAGTACTCATGCGAGGTGTACCTTGCCCTCCAAAACCTTGTCGCCATATACTCAGCAAACCTTCCCGAACTACCACTCGTCTAACAGATCTAGTTCAAGCACAAAAGCTAAGGATGAATATTGCCCACCTATCACTATTAAGTGTATGTGCAATGGCGGTATATAATTACGGTTATGCGGATTTAGTATGTGTGTCTCAGCCCTATCGCCTGTTCCTTGTTTGGTTGTGGGCTTAGAACAGATTCACCCAGTCTACTATCTATTCGATCATATATATATATATATATATATATATATATATATATATATATATATATATATATATATATATATATATATATATCATGTATACACCAAGTAATCATACACTACAAGAAAAAGACCCTTTTACGATGCGCAAACCACGACACTCGTTGATTTATGTTACGCAAAAGAGAGCGACATTGAAAAAGTGTCATCTATTCAAAAAATTTAAGGATCTAGCTCACGCACTATTGCGTGCCCTTAAAGTAGTGTCTCATGTAAAAAATCAAAAACACGGAGGGCACTTGTGCATCCTCTGTGAATGTCATGTTATATTTATTTTTTTAAGAAACCGTGTCTCTCTTCTTAGAGGGAAAATGAAATCCCAAAAAATTTTAAACCCCGCTTTCTTCTCCTATATTCGTATCGATTTGTTCTCTATCATCTCCTCTCCTTCGTCTCCGCCCCTCACCCACATCCACTACCTCCAACCCACACCGACTCTTTAAACCTACACTACGTAGGCTAGGGATTTTTTTATCGGAGACTTACGCCCTATTCGCTTCACTCTCGTTTGCAACGTCGTTCAGCAACTACGACTCCTCAAGCTACAACATCAGCGACTACACACCTATCAATCAATCTCTCTCATACTTGTCATAGAAGAATGACAAGTAATATATCACCATTGGTACATAAGATATCAACTCCTCATGCTCACCGTTCCACCTCTTCCCCACCCTACCGCATCTACTAAGAATCCTCAGGTTTACAAGCCCAAGGTCTGATTGTACTAAGGTATGAAAAGGACGCTTCTACCCTGCCCTATTTCTTCAGTCGGTCAACAAATAAGGGGGCACGCAATTTCTCATTCATATCTCGACTTCATCTTCTCAATCAAGAAAAAGGCATATGATTTTTCCCTTCATGTGCGATTTCATCTAGTATTATCGATTTCTCCTTTATGCCTCTGATTTTTTTTCTGCATCTACTTCTCATCTCTGTAAACAAGTTTATTTCACATTTCAGCTTGTAGCTATTGGCATAGAACTAGCTGTTGTTTGGGAAGCTATTTGTCAAGCAAATGTAACAGGTATCCAATTATTAATATATACAACTAGGTAATAAGAATAACTTCTTAAAATCAAGAACCAACTATGGAGTTGTATGCTCTCAAAGTGGTGATAATTCCAATAAGTAGATCAGAAAACGAAGGAGAGGAGCTATGCACTCCAACTATTTGACAAAATGCTTGAAAGAGCTATCTCACCTAAATCAGGCCTTATAACATCACCTGATGTACACATGACCGTGAATTCATGAGCCCTCACTAAAAACTTACTCTTTTTCAGCTTTTTACCTGCCTAGCTAATGAATATGAAAGAAGGCATTAGTCAAATTCCTCTATTGCAAGGTAATTTAATTTTAGATCTATTGAGGTAGTTTTTGATCAATTTGAAAGAAAGTAACAAATTCATTTTCAATCTATTCATTAAACTATAAATAAGCTTACTAAGCTAAATAATGATAAAATAATTAATGCTAATTTTTCCTGACCACTCAAATTTATTTTATTATTTTAAACTTATAAGTCAAACTTTCCATTTATGTGAATGTACACTCACTTTTCACTTTCTATTCCTCTATCAGATATTAAAGTGCTTGGGTCAATTTGTTAAGAACTTTCAAAGCCTGGCAGAAAGTTTGTTCATGGGTAAGTTTGTCTTTTTTCCGTTGTCTCCCTCTTGCCAAATAAACTCTGTTATTGTTCATAAAACTTAAATATATTGTTTTTTTTTCTAGAGGTTTTGGTTCCATTATGGCAAACATTATTGTGAAAAAAAAACTGAATTTTTTATTTTATGGTAAGATGATAGATACTAAGAATTTCAAATAGCTCATTACCTTATTATAACCTTAAGTACCATTTCTTAAATATATACTAACTAGATTAGTGAAAAACGATAATGTGTACGAAGTTGGTGTTGACATCCTTTGGTATTTAGAAACCATAACGGTATGACATGATGAAGCCACCTTAAACTGAATGATCAATGATCCAATGGATCCTTCTTTCTTATCATATGTGTTATTTGATTTTTATTAGATTTTTAACAGAGTAATATGTATAGGTATAACACAACAAAAGGTAAGCTGATAGTCAACATTTAATTAATTAATAAGATGCATGGAATGGAGTTGGAATTTGTAATCCAAAAGAGAAAAAAGAAGCACATGCCCAACAAATCAACAATCATTTGTTTCAGATGTTCTTGACCCCTGATATTAACATAATACCCCAAGTCCAACCAATTTTCTTAAAATGTCGACAAGATCCCAAGACAAGTATCTTTTTAACACGTGATTATATAATAATAACATCAGCAAGACTAGAAACCAGCCCATCTATCAGGTCGGGAAGTCGACTTACTTTCTTTGTTTTTTAACTCCTCCCCATAACCAGAACGCCCAGAATCGGTGGTAGTTATAGTTTAAAGTTTGAAAGATATTATTGTAATTTGTCCTAACTTTTTCATTTTAAAGGTGGAGGCAGTGACGGATTCAGTATAAACAATTAGTTGTAAGACACATGCTTTCCATTGATTGGAAATTCTGAAGATCTTATTCGCAAAAATCTTCAGGCCAATGTGTCACAATTCAAATGCTTGGGAGACTTGCAAGTTGCTTCTTCCCACTTTATTTATTTATTATTATTTTTTAAAAATTTTATTTTACACTGAATCAGTCTATGTATATGTAGCATTAAGAGAACTTGTTAAAACAAACTTATCGCATTACTTATTCACAGAGTTCTGTCCACAAGAATTGAAGAAATACAGTTTGATGCAACATCATAATGAAGCTTCAAATGATTCAGACCTTGTAAAAATGGATGATCATTATTCAGATGATTTTTTTGATTTTGATGATGAATCGGAATGTGACTACATAATCACTCTTCCAGAAGATCAAACTGGTAATCTGGGCCACATTTGGTCGTCACCAAAACCTTTTTATTTCCAGACCGTGGAGAAACTTTTCTGGAAGAACGTAAAAAAATAAAATAAAAAAATAAAAATTGATTTTTGTTTACCATTTATAAAACAGTAAAAATCATTGTCTGTTTTTTTACCAGATTTAGCGGAAAGTACATTGCTAAAAACTGTTGGTGCTACCTGGCTTAAATCTGACAAGCGTGAAGATCATCTGGCTATTCGCCCTTGGAACATTGTTCACAAATATGTAGCTGATGGTAGCCTAGAATTCTTCATTGTTATTATCTTTTTAGTAATTAATTATATATTATATATTATATAAACATGTACAGATTAGAATTATTTAGTAATTACTATTTTTGTGATTATTTAATTAATTAGGTGGCAGGTTCAACACATTATAATATTTCTTCCTACTTTATAGTTTGAAGTTTGAAGGATATTATTGTAATTTGGTGGTATATTAGGTGTTGTGTTTGCCTAAGAGTGAGAGTTTGCAGAGGTAGGAACCGTTGTGAAGCTTTCCACTCCAAAACCCCAACTGGTGGTGCCGCCTTCAGCCGCTTGCTTGTTTCGGTGACCATTGTTTCTTGTTCTAACAGATTTGGAGTTGTTTATGGGATTCTCCTCAGGAAATGCCTGCCATGAATTTTGTTCAGGGGACCCTTTATCAAATAATCCCTTTTCAACCTCCCAAAATCTTCCATCTTTCACCTTTTGCTATTAAAACTAAACAAACAAATTAATACCATTCTTTTTGCCTATAAGAAACTAACTGAATTGAAAAGGAGTAACCTAACTTTTATGGTAGAAACATGAAAAAGAAATTACATGAAAAAGAAACAGCCCCATAAAGTTGTGTAGATTAAGTGCTTTACCCGTTAACTATATCGAAGAGGAGTAACCTAATTTTTACGTTCCATGTTATGATTCAGGGAGGGAACGACCTTATTAGATAAGCAAAAGTAGGATGCCCTAGTCTATCGTTTATTTGTTTCTTAAATCTTAATACTTAATATAAATAGAACCAATTGCATGCCACAAATGAATTATCTTATTCAAAAAAGGCTTGTTCTGTCGAAGGTTTATCTTGTGTCAGGTATGTGTTTTCTTCATCATAAATGTCCTTGTAGTCTTTAGAATTAGAATCAAGTTTTGGTACATTAGGAAATGAATAGATAAAGGGATAAAAGTATTTGATAAAATTTTAAAACTTGTAGCTACTGCATTGTCTCATTGATAAGGAATGAAGTTGGATATTCTGCTCAAGGTCAAGGGAATCAGACCTAATGTAAGAAATGTGAGCAGAAAGAAGTTGATGAAGATTTTACATATAAACAAGAGAATTAAACTAGGAATTAGGAAAGTTAGCTGAAAATCAAATATTCTTCTTTCCAACAACAACAACAACCAATTCTCTTGTAATAAGCTAAGGCCTCATTTAGTGACATGGCCATGCTTCGTGTTCTTATCATTTTCTGAAATGTGAAAGGTCGCTTGGTAATTATGTATTCAAATCAAAATATTTGACAGGACTATTAAAGATGAAATTACAACGTGTTCTATAAACCATGAAAATTAGAGTAGCTACAAATACTCTATTGACCTACCTAAGATACAATCTTGATAGATGAACTGAATACATACATTAACACTTGTTCAGGTTAATGCTCTGTTATCTTCTTTATAGATCGATAATCATGGGGGGTTGGTTAGGGAGCACATGCCTGGTAGATATGCAGAGCTGGATCAGTATTGCTGGGCTGATGAATTTTCCCAACAACACGGTGGGGCCCCGAATGCTTGGGCTTTATCCTTTGAGCGGCAAAATGGTACTGTGGTTTGGGCTTTTAAATTACAGCATGTCAGTGAGCTCTTTCACATCAATAATTAAAATAATAGTTAAATGTTCACTTAACATTAATTCTGATGTTATTGATTTCAGTAGTAAATGCAGATGATGTCTGTGGACCGAATGGCAGGTGCAAACATTCTATCTTTGGCTGCTATGGAGCAGACCCAAATGTCAGCACACACTTTAGCTCAGAACACCAATCCAAAGTTTCAGGTTACTTTACTTACATTAAATTAAAATCTTTTTTTTTTAATTTTATTTTATAATCAGTATATTATTTATTTGGTTTGGCAAATAATATGCAGAACTGCAAGTTCCTTTAGTTTGTTTCAAAGATGAGTCATGGGGAATTAACTATTGAGGATAACCAGGCCAGGCCTGCAGGTGGGGACTGGGCAAATGAATATCAACAACAATATAATACAGGCCCTTCCTCTACCTCTTCGGCAGATCAGTATGCACGTGAAGAGGCAAGTAAAACTTTTATCCTCTTAATCTTATCAATAGGTATCCAATGACTAATAATCAATGCGTACGAATGTGTTGGCAAAAAGATTTTCATTTTCAACCAGTGCTTATGTGCCAGGGTAGCCTTCTAGGTCTGATGGTATGTTTTGTGCTGATTAATTGTCACTCTGGATAAAAAGGAAAGTAAATCTGATTTTTATAAGGTTTTGACTGATAATTCTTCAGGTTTTAATGTAACTTAGTCTAACATACATTTTTATAAATTTTGCATGAAAATGATGAAATATATTATATAAATATGATTTGCATGATTTTGATTATAAGATTATTCACTCGGATTACTATCAAAGAATGTTGTAATGAGGATGCATAATGTTCATTTGTTGTTGACAAAATATTAGAACTCACTTCTTCATCTGTCAAAGGCACTTTTGGAGAGATTGTTGCCTCTTTTTTTTAATCTATGCTCCTAGACGTTTATGTACTGTTGTTAATCATGTGTCCCTTTCCACTACAAACCAATTCTCTTTTTCACATAATTGACAAAGAGTTGTTGTATCTATTCAGACTAGGCTTAGAGTAATGGTTGCAAGAGATGAGTTCAGAAGAAGAAGAAACAATGCTGCAACTATAGTTCAGGTAGTATGGATGAATTATATTTGTAAAGTATTTAAGAAAATGATTAGAAACAAGGGTGAATTTTTACAGATTAGTTAGTTACTTGTAGGTTGATCTTGAATAAGCAAAGGGGCAATCGATTGTATTTTTTGTATCTAATTCGTTTGTAAATTAATTTTTATTACAACTTCTATTGATTTGTTTTATCTTTCCATTGAACGATTATTTGTATGACATTAAATTTATGCAATGGATTCTATTTTTTGTATACGATATTTTATTTTCTATTATGAAACATTAAATACATATTTAATTTGAAAATAAGTAAATCTATAAATAATATTTTTTTAAACATTTAAAATTACGATACACAAAAATGTATGTCGTCTTCATTTATGACATGGCCTTTCTTGACAAGGGCTTTCTTGATACGCAATGCGTGTCATTAACATGCGCGTCGTAAGGTTACGACACACGAATGCGTGTTGTCTTCCTTTATGACAAGGCCTTCCTTGATACACATTCCGTGTCGTTAACGCGCGTCGTAAATGCGTGTCGTCTATAGACGACGCACAAAAGCGCATCGTCTCTCTTTATGATAGGGCCTTCCTTGACACGCATTTGCACGTCGTCTAAGCCATTTACGACGCGCAATGAGCGTCGTAAAGGGCTGTTTTCTAGTAATGATAAGAAGTATCAGGTATGGGTCGGGTTATAGCATACAAATTCAGTATACCGTTTTCTAGTACAAAAACATACTTTTCAGATAGAAAATTTAGTAGGCCAAACTAGAAACTTATCTGTACAAGGTTTAATTCATTTTAAAAAAACAGTATAACTTAAATGACCCTTAATGGTTAATTCTATAATACTTTAGTTTATACATCAGGGTTATATATAATTAATATCCGATATGCAGTTGGATGTGTGCTTTCCGCCTTAAGTTCTTGTTCCTTGTTTGTTTGTGGGCTTAGGGCAGATTCATCCATTTAACTGTCCGTTCGATATTAGATTATATATAGCTTCTATACATTAAGTGATTATAGAAGGAGCTATTGTGGTTACCATTTTTACTAAAGGAAATATATGATTTTCTTAAAGAATGTTTTCATCCAATATAAAGAACTATTACGATTAACTTCGGAAGTACCAAATGAATACGCTAGGGTTATATACAGTGAAGATATAACAAACAATGGGATGTGTGAATTCCACCTAAATTCTTGTTCCTTGTTTGGTTGTGGACTTAGGGCAGATTCACACAATCGTCAATCTATTTACTCAAGATTGTATATAACTTGTATCCATTTAGTACTCATAGAAGGAATTGTAGAGTCATTTTTACTTTCATTCATTATACCAGAAAATATAGGATTTTCTGGAGGAACTCTCAAACTTTTCTAAAAAGAACTTACAACTTAATTTTCATCACTTAAATACTTATGAACTCACCAGCTTAAATGCTGATCTACTCTTTCAAAATAACTTGTATTCTCATGAAACTAGTAGATAGGTACGCGTACTAGGATTCAGAAGATGGAGTATAGTAGCTTCATGTCTTGTTTTGTTATTTACTTTTGGAGTCAATCTTTTGTGAATCACATACTTTGTAAACACTTTAATATTAATGCAATAGTTTTTTGTTACTTTGATTACTATGATGCATGTGTTGTGATACTAAACATGACGTCCTCCACCCAAGAACGTTTCCACCATTCCGGTTTGGGGGTGTGACAACCTTTGTTTCCACCATTGCTCAAAGAAGGGAATAAACTTTCACCTTGACCAGAATGTGGAAGATCATCTTCAGAAGGCAGAGAAAAAACATTTACAGAAGAATGAGGAAGATGTTGTCTGAACTTGACATCTATAATAGGAGAAAACCTAATTCAAGTTAGTTGATTTTAATCCTTAATTACTAAGCCATAAATTTAAATTAAGGCTAGGATCGATACTTTTGATTCAAACTTTGAAGAGGGATGTTGTAATTAAATTAAAATCTTTTTTAGGTAGGTAAAGCTTTTTCCAATTTCAATCTCATAAAACTCCTTGATATTTTGAGATTCATTGAACTATTCAATGACATGTTTAACCTCTATTATGCTCTCACTTTTGTGATTGGGATGCCGAGGATCACAAACGAGATATGAATACCATGTAAATTGCTTGGTACTCTCGATGTCATTTATAATCTTGTTCTAATTTGTCAGTTAACCACACACACTCCATTAATTAAAGATAATTTTTGAGACACCCATTACCAACCTTTATTAGTCCCCCATTATTGTGTCGGTTAACCATACATGCTCCACTAACGACTCATAAAGTGTAATGTGCAATTTCATGGATTAGCATACAAAATTAACATTTTTGCTAAAGTAACTATGAGTAATATTTTAGAGAAAAGTTTAGTTACTTTATATCGCATTATACTTATTAATGAGAACTAATTGTCCAATCGAACCCTTTCAGCTAACGACCCTCCACCATACAAGGGTGCGGTCGGTAAGAAATGATACCCAATGGTGGTCTTTTTATAGGTCGCTTCTTTAAACTCCCCTTATAGTATGACTTCATGAATGAGGTGTACTAGCAGTTTGATTGATTTTTCTAACTCATAAATTTTCCACCTTTATGACTTTCCATGGATAGACAATGCCCAAAAGCTAAAACCCTAACATAATAATCAATTAAGAGATCATAACGCTTGCATGGAAGGGATAGAAGGACCAAGATCACATTTTTATCATTCCTAACACCTAAAAGTGTATGAAAGGACATCTCTAGTTAAAGTAACCTATACTCATGTACACCAAGCTTATGGGACCAAAATGAACACAAACTCAAAGCTAACAAGATATAAGCAAATACTCATCAAGTTTCAGACTTTATACCTCCAAAGGATGCTTGAGGGTGAAACACTTATGTATGCGACGCGCCTTAAGAATCGAAGATGAAATTCCTTTCTTGCTACTTCCTTCCTTCAACATCACAAATGCACTCTTAAGCCCACAAAGGCTCACACAAAGGATTAGGGTTTGTTAGGAAAAAATTGGGAGATGTAGGATGATGAATGAAGGGATCTCAATGAGATAATGAAGCTTAAATAGGGCTGAAACCCTAAAAATTAGGGTTTGGGTATCCACCACGTACGTCCTGCATACATATGCGTACACCCAACGTACCCGCAAAGGGCACGTCCCTCTAAAACAAGCCATGAGACCAATTTTGCAACAACTCCAAAAATTTAGGGTCAAAAACAAAATTACTTAATAAGGTTGTTACAACTTTGTTGTTACTTTTTTTTAAAAATGACAAATTTTCCCTTAGTGATGATTTCTACAGTTATCTCTTTATAACAAACTACAAGGAACATCTTTATAATTTTTTTTTTAATTTATTGAATTATTATACATTAATTCTTTTTTATTTCTTTTTTATTGAACTATTTTTTTAATTGATCGTTATATATTAATAAGTATTATTTTTAACATGGGAAAATTGAATATATACCCTAGAAGGTATATAAGGTTATGTACTCAAACTCAGAATACCATGTCATTTTTATTCCATATATGCATTGTAATCATCTAAAGTTCTAAAAAATCAACCTATAAATGTAACGTCCCCAAAATAGTAATAAAAATTTCTTTTTTAATTCATTTAACCCATGCAAACAATTGTTTCAAAACCAATCAGAGTAAATTGTATTTTTCAAACATCAGAGTAAAACATTTATAATTAATGCGGAAAACGCCATTAGGGATGCAGTGCAGTCAAGCCAGGATCTTCTCTTTTGAATTGGAAGTATCTAAAAAAGTTTAAACCAAAAATCGTAAGCACAAAACTTGGTGAGTTCCTCAAAATACCATATAACTTACATAACATTGGTCCCCACCCACATATCGGGCCCTGCCCATCATACACACGAGCCCCGCCCAAGCATATATACAGGCCCAAACCAACATACAAATAGGTCCCACCCATCATACAAATGGGTCTCGCCCAACAGACAATGCAAGAGTCATAAAGACAGCTAGCATCCTACACAGTATAGTGAGACCTGAACCACAACTCAATACACCACAAAAGATGCTACAACCTTCCTATTAAAACATATAATGTATAACCTTAGACTACACACTAAATCAAATAATCTTGAGCAAAAGCCAAGAATACCCAAAAAGTCATTGGCTAATAACATTAACCATTGAGCCTCACATCGTGACCGGCCCTTGGTCAGGTCGTGAGAACTCACTCAGCTCGATTCCAACTCAACTCATTCCAACTCAACCAACTCGGTAACAAAAAATCCACTTAGCAAGCATCACGACGTTAACCATCCTTGGTCACATCATGAGCACAATAGGAGAACCTAGTCGCAAAGCCCTTTCTCTGTCAAGTTATGACATTCTCATTGTCACGTTGTAAC